GGGGGGGCAACAGGATGACAGGTGTGGGGTGCTGTGTCTGGGAAAACAAATAGGGGGCAGCATGGGGGGTCACTATGGGGGAGGGGTGTCTGATGAGCCCCTGATCTCCAGATTAGGGGGGCAGGGTGACAGGACTGGTGTGCTGTGTCTTAGAGTGACAAATAAGGAGCAGCATGTGGGATGGGGGGCATCTGTTGTACCCTGATCTCCAGATTGGGGGGGGGGGCAGGGTGATAGGACTGGGGTGCTGTGTCTGGGAGGGACAAATAGGGAGCAGCATATGGGATGGGGGGCACTATGGGGGGGGGGGGGGGGGGGCAGCATCTGATGTACCCTGATCTCCAGATTGGGGGTGGCAGGGTGACAGGACTGGGGTGCTGTGTCTGGGAGGGACAAACAGGGAGCACTATGGGGGAGGGGGTGTCTGGTGAACCCCTGATCACTAGATTGGGGAGGCAGGGTGACAGGACAGGGGTGCTGTGTCTGGGAGGGACAAATAGGGAACAGCATGTCAGATGGGGGGCACTATGGAGGAGGGGTGTCTGTGAACCCGATATCCAGAGTGGGGGCAGGGTCACAGGATTGGGGTGTTGTGTCTGAGAGGGCCATGTAGGGGGCAGCATGTGGAATGGGTGGGCACTATGGGGGAGGGGTGTCTGATGAACCCCTGCCACAGTGGGGGGGGGGGGGGGGCAGGGTGACAGGATTGGGGTGCTGTGTCTGGGAGGGCAATGTAGGGGGCAGCATGTGGGGCACTATGGAGGAGGGGTGTCTGATGAACCCGATATCTAGAGTGGGGGAGGGTAGGGTGACAGGTTTGGGGTGCTGATCCAGGAGGCGCAATGTAGGCGGCAGCATGTGGGATGGGGGGCACTATGGGGGAGGGGTGTCTGATCTCCAGAGTGGGGGGGGGCAGGGTGACAGGATTGGGGTGCCGTGTCTGGGAGGGCCATATAGGGGGCAGCATATGGAATAAGGGGGCACTATGGGGGAGGGGTGTCTGATCTCCAGAGTGGGGGGGGGCAGGGTGACAGGATTGGGGTGCTGTGTCTGGGAGGGCCATGTAGGGGGCAGCATATGGAATAAGGGGGCACTATGGGGGAGGGATGTCTGATGAACCCCTGATCTCCATAGTGGGGGGGGGAGCAGGGTGACAGGATTGGGGTGCTGTGTCTGGGAGGGCCATGTAGGGGGCAGCATGTGGGATGGGGGTGACCATGGTAGAGGAAGGTGGGGGGATGGGGTGCAGTGACCGAGGGTTGCCATGACAGAGGGAGGGGGCGCTCTTAGGCCGTGTCGTTGTTACCTGCTGTCCGCCCAATGTGTGACCATCCACGGCTGTCCAGGCTCTGCCCTCCTCGGCCCTGCTCTTCAGTCCGGCCCCAGGGGCAACGATCCGCCGGCAGCGAGGCCCGCGGCGTGGACGGAGGAGGTGAAGGGCGGATGGACCGGGGTGGGGGGGACGGGGAGGATGAGGGGAGAGCAGGAGGAGAGACGTGCTGCTGGGCGGTGACGGGGAGGGCGGCGGCCGCTTCCTTTTTTCCCTCTTCTTTTTCTCCTCAGTCGGTTCCCCTCCTCGCTGTGTCCCGTCCGCTCCCCGCAATGCCGCCTCTGCGTCCGACACTGGAGCGAGCCAAAGACACGGCGCACCTCACACACAGCCTCCCCCTCAGATCCCTTCAGCCATCGAGCAGAGATGGGCGCGGTAACCCTGCGGACAGCGCCGGGAAACCCCACGCACGGGCGGGCGGAGCTTAGGGCAAGTGGGGGGGCGGGACCTAAGGGGCCGACGTCAGCGCGCCACGCTCTGGTTGAAGCACGCACAGTGCCAGCGCTGCCCATGGAGAGATGGTGACTGGCTTAGTGCTGCGTCCTGAGGGGGGACAGCGCCTGACTTTTACACCGTCTCCCTGGCCAGGCCACTATGATTGGTCACACATCTGTATTCAACGTGAAAACAAGTGGAAGTCATTTTCACTTTAATATCTACTGCAAATGAGAAATGTGGAGCTCAAAAAAGTGTGAAAAGAGAACCTGTCACGGGTGTTCTCCACTTTAGCCTCCCCTCACACCTGAGGCCCATTTCATGTCTGCACGTCACGCTAATGGTCATTTTTCACACAAAAAAAAACGCGGCAAAGAAGCTCCTGCACCTTTTGTCGGCCAGAACCTAGTGCATTTTTTTACCACGTGTTTGGGGTGCCTTTAACAATGGCACTGCAAGCGCAAAGCACACACTCCAGGAACCTGCACAGAACCGCGCATTTCCCTGCCGGAGGGATTTGTCACTCAAAAACAAATGACAATAATGCCCCGTACACATGATAAGAAAATCATACGAAAAGTTTGGGGCCCCCGGGCAATAGGGATCATGGGGCCCCTGTGTCCCCGCCCATACTCAAACCACACCCAAAAAAGCCTATGAAAGGTACCAGGGACATCTCATGGGGCCCCCTACTGACCCCGGGCCCTCGGGCAGTGCCCTAGTTCCCCAATGGTCAGTCCGCCCGATTGTAAATAAAAAAATCCAGCTGAACAACAGTGAAAAATGTCATTTTGCATACGAACGAGCGATTTTCTATGCGGTGGTTTGACTGTCGTATGAAAAAAATCTATCAAGCGCTATCACGCATGAGCGGAAACAGAAGATGACCCGAATGTTTATGTCCAAGGAATCTTCGTAAACACAAACGAAAAATCCAAATGTTAAAAGCAGGGCCGGACTGACAACTCATGGGGCCCCTGGGCAATAGGGGATCATGGGGCCCCTGTGTCCTTGCGCAAACTCAAAAAAGCCTATGAAAAAGGTACCAGGGGCATCTCATGGGGCCCCCTACTGACCCCGGGCCCTCGGGCAGTGCCTGAGTTTCCAAATGGTCAGTCCGCCCCTGGTTAAAAGTAGATTGGCTTAATGAGATAATGAAAGCAGAATTCTGCAGATTATATTTTATGTATCATATTTATGTATATTATTATTATTATACAGGATTTATATGGCGCCAACGGTTTGCTCAGCGCTTTACAATGTAAAGGGAGACAATACAGCAACAATACAGTTCAATACAAGAGGCATTTGAGGGCCCTGATCCTTGGAGCTTACAATCTAAGAGCATATAGGTAATGTAATAAACGATATTATACTAATTGCTGGTAATTGTGTATATCGCGCGTTCTGGTCGGAAGGGCGTGGCTACAAGGTCACACCCACACCGCATCACCTCCACTTGTACAGAACCGCGCGAAACACTACGTATTGCCCGATGAACGATTTTTTTAGATTGGTTAATGTCTGCCACGATTTCAACCAACGAACATACGCCTCTCAGTCGTCGGATGACCGATGGGTCGATTTTCAAATCGTGTATTCCCACCTTAAGATTCCCATTCCCTTCTATGGGGAAGGTTCACATCTGAGCAATGTGGTGTCGCTTGTGACACCATCGACGCACAGATGCTGCTTTGGGGCACAATCATGCATTTTTGCCCCATAGACCAACAGGAGTGCCTGAAAAAACATACCATCTTCATACCTAACATCCAGTCTCCTAGTAACCCACTTTCCATCGGCCTAACAAAAAATGCTCACATCTGAAAAATGGGCATAAAAAACACTTTAACAACTTCCAAAGAAACCGTGTACCTAGCCTTAGGGCTTGTTCACCTGGGGGAGGGCAGTAAAAGCAGGTGGTTGAGCTGTGGTTTTACCTCCCCCGACTGCCTACTTAAACTAGAGCTCAAGGCTGTACACCTGCCGTGGCTGCAATGCTTTGCTTCATAGCCATGGCGCTAATTAAACAGCTTGTTGCATTTGGCAGGTGGTGCTGCTGCCGAATGCTACCCATTCAAATGATGGGGCCGCGCTGTAACTGCATGCAATGCATACTTTTGCGGCGTGGTTGCTCAGCATTTTAAGGGTTAAAATTTGGGATATTCTTTTACTTTCAATTTATTGATAATATTATACAGGACAAATAGAGAGGGGGGGGATCTCCCTAATGGGGGGCGATAAAATCCTACAAGTGTTCCAATCCCTCTCCATTCTGTTAAAAACTACAAAAATCATTTTTGCCTTTAGCTCTACTTTAAGTACACACCGGTGTGAGGGCCATGTTTTGCCAATCGCTGCTCCCATTTTGACATCCAAGGGGGTACGTGTCCCTGAACACAGACAACATGAGTTCAGGGATACACCCTGCATGGATGTCAGAGAGCTGTGTCTGTGTCCATGCAGCTGCTGCATCCCAATTCACATTAACCACTTGCCCTCCAGAGGATGTACCCCCCTTCCTGACCAGGCTATTTTTTTTTGCGATACGGCACTGCGTTACTTTAACTGACAATTGCGCGGTCATGCACTGCTGCACCCAGTTGAAATTGACATAGTTTTTTCCCACAAATGGATCTTTCTTTTGGTGGCATTTGACCACCCGTGCATTTTAAATTGTTTGCGATATAAACAAAAAAAGACCTATAATTTAGAGAAAAAAACAATATTTTGACTTTTTACTATTAACCACAAGCCTACAGGGCACTTATACCCCCTTCCTGCCCAGGCCAATTTCCAGCTTTCAGCGCTGTCACACTTTGAATGACAATTGTGCAGTCATGCAACACTGTACCCATATGAAATTTTTATAATTTTTTTGTGACAGACAGATAGCTTTATTTTGGTGGTATTTAATTACCTCAGGGTTTTTTATTTTTTCTTAAACCAAAAACCACAGAAAATTTTGAAAAATGTTTTTTCTTAGTTTTTGTTATAAAATTTTGTAAATAAGTGATTTTTCTCCTTCACTTATGTGCGCTAATGAGGCTGCACTGATGGGCACTGATAGGCTGCACTGATGGACACTGATAGGTGGCACAGATGAGGAGGCACTGGTAGGTGGCACTAATGGGCATTGACAGGCATCACTGATGGGCACTGAAAGGCAGCACTGATACATGGCACTGATATGCAGCACTGATAGGCGGCACTGACTTGATAGGCGGCACTGACTGGCACTAATATGCGGCACTGACTGGCACTGATAGGTGGCACTGACAGGCACTAATAGGCGGCACTGATGCGCACTGATAGGCAGCACTGACTGGCACTGATAGGTGGCACTGTTTGGCATTGATAGGTGGCACTGACTGGCACTGATGGGTGACACTGAAAGGCAGCTCAGATGGGCACTGATATGTGGCATTGATGTGCACTGGTAGGCACTGATATGTGGCACTGATGGGCACTGGCACGAGGCACTGATGAGCACTGACATAAGGCACTGATGGACACTGACAGGTGGCACTGCTGGGGCTACACTGATCATCAGGGCACACTGATCATCAGTGCCTTGATGATCAGTGTACATGTCCCATCTGCGGAATGCCGATTACTGGCTCTCCTCTCGAGCTGTCAGCGTGACATCTCGAGAGGAGAGAAATGCCGATATCCGGCATTTCCCTGTTTACATGTGATCAGCTGTGACTGGACACAGCTGATCACATGACCGAACCGACATCTTCGGCTCTTTCCGTGATCGGTGATCCGCTGTGTCCGAGGGACACAGTGCACCGAATGATCGCCGCGCTGCGCGCTCCCTGAGCCGCGCATGTGCAGTGAGAATGGGAGGACATCATATGATGTCCTCCCAGAACGAGAGAACCACCTTGCGCCCGTCATATTACTATATGGCGGGCAGGAGGTGGTTAAACATGTCCAGTAAAAAAAATGATAAAAATCAAATTTCATCATAAATTTAGGCCAAAATGTATTCTTCTACGTCTTTGCTAAAAAAAATCCCAATATGAGTAAATTAATTGGTTTACGTGAAAGTTCTAATGTTTACAAATGGCGGTATACATATTGGGCTTTTTTTCTATTTTTATACTAGTAATGGCAGCGATCAGTGACTTATAGCAGGACTGCGGTGGGCATTCTGACACTAACTGTCACTGACATCCCCAGTGACATTAATACAGTGATCAGTACTAATAAAAAAGCACTGACACTGTACTAATGGCACTGGGCAGGAAGAGGTTAACATCTGGGCCAATCAAAGGTTTAACTGTGTGCTGTGTGCCGTTTTACTGTGTGCAGTGTGTATGTGTTTTACAGTGTAAGCACACTGCTTTGTATTGCTCTGCTATGCTGAGCAATACAAAGCAGCATGTTGGAGCTGACAGGGGAGAGATCTGTATTGTTTACATACAGACCTCTCCCCCGTCAGTGATACTCGGCGATCGCCGGGTGCCAGCGGGGAATCACCAGCTGGGACCGGGTGATCAACAACTGAAGCTACCAACGGCGGTTCAGGTAGGGCTACCGCGAAATGCAAAATCACCTATATCGTATACGTGATTTTGCACAGCCCTGACGCCCTGTAGCAGTATTTCTTCTATAGGGCGATGGGCAAGCGATTAACAGGACTGCTGGTTGCGGATCCCTCACACAGGTGTATGCTTAAGTACATCCATGTAAATTAGACCTTACTGCAGCACAGATGTGTAAACTTAAAGCTGAACTTCCTCCAAAAGGGGAAGTTCCGCTTGTTTGTATCCTCCACTGCCACATTTGACATGTTTTGAGGAGAGGGTTGGGCAGATACCTGGTTTTGACAGGCACCCGATCCCACTTCTGGGTCAGATCGCTGAGGTGATCTGTGAAGGAGTTTGGCTCCCTCCGCCTTTCCCCCTCAAGCTTTTGGGACACACACAGGTCCCAGAAGACTGCAGGACTAGTCACACAGTGCAGCACAACCCGCACATGTGCAGTAGGAAACCAGCTGCAAGGTTTCACTGCCAGTTTCCATTACCTAAGATGGCACCACCTGCACCCGAAGCCAGTGAAGAATCGGTTCGGCTGAGACAGTGCTGGATCCCTGAAGAGGTAAGTGTCCTTAAATTAAAAGTCAGCGGCTACAGTATTTGTAGCCGCTGACTTTTATTTTTTGGGGGGAGACTGAATCAGGGCCTTATGCAGGCCATACATGGGTCGAATTCCGAACAAATGTACTTTAGAAAATCAGAAATTTTGTGTGTTTTGTAATGCGATGGTGCCACCATTGATTTCAAAATTCAACCAACTAATGCAGGCCATAGACAGGGAGAAAACCGGACGGTTTTTAACAAAAAAATGAAAAATCGGTTGTTCAATAGTCCGACGTTACCACCAACAGCAAAAAAAAATCGTCCGATTTTTCTTCCTGTCTACGGCCGGCATTTAATTACTTCTGTCCCTGTAGAGAGCTCCGCTGTTATATTTGACATTAAAAAGTATTGCGGTTGCAACATTGTATCCATTTGTATCCATTTCGGATACAGATGTTTTTTTTCAGATACAAATAGATACATTGTTGCAAACGCAATACTTTTTAATGTCAAATATAATAGCGGACTGGAATTCTTCTTCTCTTCTTCTTCTTTCTCTTCTTCTTCTTTCTCTTCTTCTTCTTTTCTTCTTCTTCTTCTTTCTTCTTTCTCTTCTTCTTCTTTCTCTTCTTCTTCTTCTCTTTCTTCTTCTTCTTTCTTCTTTTCTTTCTATCTTCTTTCTTTCTCTTCTTTCTCTTCTTCTTTTCTTCTCTTCTTCTTCTTTCTCTTCTTCTTCTTGCAGGTCACGGCTCATGCACAGATTTTTTATCAGTAAAAAATCGGCCGATTTGCCCATCATTGCCGCGAAAATCGGCCAATCGGCAAAATCGGCCGATTTTTTTTTCCAACTTTACCGATCAAAAAAATCTGACAAAATCCAGAAAAAAAACGGCTGACCAATTAATCCATTAACGGTGCGAAAATCAGCCGATTTTTTTTTTTCGGCCGAAAAATCTTCGATTTTCAGCCCATCATGGCTTGCATAAGCCTTCAATTTCTCCTCATGTTGCTACAGAAAAGAATTTTCATGGCCAAGAATTTTCTTTTCTTTCCAGGTAACAGATTTTTATTTCTTGCACGATTTTTCCCATCATTGATTCAAAATTCATTCGTTTTTCAAAACATTTCCTACATGCCCGATCACTCAAATTCGATGGTCACACAAAATCTGCCATTTCTGTGACCCACTAATGGTGCGAAATTCAAACTAAATTTCTTAAAAAAGATTTTGGAAAGAAAATTCTTTCAGAATTCGACCCATGTATGGCCAGCTTTAGCCTTGGCAGGATTTGGCCAAGCACGATTGAGTTGCACTGAGGTTTGCACATCATAATCCACATTTAGTCTAAAGTAACTGTTTTTTTTTTTTTGCATCACAACTTCGTGTTTCTATGTAATACAACAGCCGGAATCCTAAACAAAACAAAGACAGCATTCATTTACATGGGAATTTACATTGGATGCAATGTAACTTATGCTGTATCTGAGATTTCCATTTTGAAGAGTATGCAAATTTGAACAAATCCATTTTCAGTGGCTAATAAACACAGCTGTAACAGGTTCTTGGAAATCCTGCACAGGCAGGTTTTAAGTGACAGCACAGATTTGAATTTAACCTCTTAAATTGTTAAACACAGGATAGAATGCAGATTGGCTGAAGGAAAATATTATTATTATTATTATTATTATACAGTATTTCTATAGCGCCAACAGTTTGCTCAGCGCTGTACATTATAATGGGAGACGATACACGAGACAGCACAGTAACAATACAATACACGAGGGGTTCGAGGGCCCTGCTCCTTGGAGCTTACAATCTAGGAGGGGGGGGGGGGATAGTGGTACAGGAGGAAATAGCTGTGGGGGATGGAGTGGTGGGAAGAGTGGAGGAGATGGGTAATTAGATGAGGGTGGGGTAGGCTTCTCTGAAGAGATGGGTTTTCAGGGTGCGCCTAAAGGTGAGGAGGGTAGGTGACAGTCTGATGGATTGGGGTAGTGAGTTCCAGAGGATGGGGGAAGCCCTGGAGAAGTCCTGGAGACGGGCATGGGAGGAGGAGACCAGGGAACTAGAGAGTAGGAGGTCTTGTGAGGAGCGGAGAGTGCGTTTTGGGTGGAAGATGGATATCAGGTCGGCGATGTATTCTGGGGCAGAGACGCTAAGTCCTCATGCACACTTGACGTTTTGTTAATGCTGGTAACGTTAGCTGTGTAAACTCATGTTAAAAATGTGAGTTTTTCAGCTTTTTTTTAGTGTTTTAGCGGCATTTTCCCGCATTTTTTAGCATTTTTTTTACCACAAAAAATTTTTTTTGGTAACAAAAATGTCCAAAAACGCCGGTTTGTGGCTGTTTACCACATTTTTCTGCGTTTTTCAGTGTTAGACCGTTTTTACAGCTAAAAATCTCCTCTAGAAACCGCTAGTCCTGGGTTATTTTTCCAGCCAAAAAACGCTGATTACAGTCTGTGTGCATGGACACATATGCAGGCCATAGATGGGGAGAAAAACGGCAGATTTTCGGCCGATTAACGAACTATCGGTCGGTCTAAAAAAACTTACCTGACCACCAATTATTACGAAAATCGGCCGATTAATGAGTAACCTATAACGGGAAATGATGTCAATTTGTGGCCTTTGTGATCCTTTTTCGGAAAAAACGATCGTTCGTTTTTTGACCATCAATGAGGATAAAGTCGGGCGTTTTTCGAAAATTTTCCAACATCACCGATAATCTGAAAGTCCAAAATACACGAAAAAAAAACGGCCGACAAAAATCGTCCACTAACGATAAGATAATCGGCCGGTTTTTTATTTTTCGGACGAAAAAATCGGCCGTTTTTTCTCCCCATCTATGGCCTGCATTAGGATAATATGCTGGGGGGTTTATTAGCTGTAGAAAAAAATGTCAAAAGCCAAAAACAGCCGCTGTAAAAACGTCAAGTGTGCATGAGGGCTAAAGGTGGTCATACATCCGTAGATTTTAGATGTAGCACCCACGTAGTTAGGGCTGCTAGGTAAATTTAGTTTTTGGCTTCTTTTGTAAGATGGGGAGCAGTAATTGTTCGGTCTGGTCTTCCCAAGGTTTCACAGGCTGGGAGTTTGGTTGTTTCCCCCTCCCCACCTCTAGATGTTTCTGGCACTCAGGGAGAGAGAATTCAAATGACCAGCTTGAACAGTGAGCAGGCCTTGGCTAATCCCTGGGGAGGTGTGCCCAGATGATTGCTGGGATGCTGTAAAATAGTCTGGAGCCCAGAGGAGATTTGTTCTTTTCCCTGCTGAGGGAATGGATCTGTGAGCTTGGGACCCGATGGTGGACTACGCTGCACAAGGCTGCACCTATGTGTGGGAGGGATCTATGTTTGCCTGTGCACGTAGCGTACCCTTGCTTGTTGGCGCGTCCATCCCCACCCAGGTTGGGATTACGGTTATGTAGAAAGTCCAACAATATTGTGGTTCTTTGATTTAGAGATGAGCTTCCACTGTGTGCAGTAAAATTACAGCGTTCCTGTGAACCATGGTGTCCCATGTGCCTTCGCTAGTTGTTGCAATAGGAAGGATGCACTAAGCCTGCGCCTGTTCCCCCAGTCTAGCGTACTTTTGTTACCTCACTCCCAGTAACAGAATGGGGTCCTGACAAGCTCATAGTGTCGATCTCATGCATGCT